AGTAAATAAAATCATTAAAAAAGAAGTAAGAGACAAGCAAATGAGATACCAGAATCCAAACTATAAATTCGACAAAGGAGGAAAGACGATCCACTGGAAGAAAGACAGTCTCTTCAATAAATGGTGCTGGGAAAATTGGTCATCCACATGCAGAAGAATGAAACTAGACCACTCTCTTGCACCATACACAAAGATAAACTCAAAATGGATGAAAGATTTAAATGTGAGACAAGACTCCATCAAAATCCTAGAGGAGAACACAGGCAACACCCTTTTTGAACTTGGCCACAGTAACTTCTTGCAAGATACATCCACGAAAACAAAAGAAACAAAAGCAAAAATGAACTATTGGGACTTCATCAAGATAAGAAGCTTTTGCACAGCAAAGGATACAGTCAACAAAACTCAAAGACAACCTACAGAATGGGAGAAGATATTTGCAAATAACATATCAGATAAAGGGCTAGTTTCCAAAATCTATAAAGAACTTCTTAAACTCAACACCAAAGAAACAAACAATCCAATCATGAAATGGGCAAAAGACATGAAGAGAAATCTCACAGAGGAAGACATAGACATGGCCAACATGCACATGAGAAAATGCTCTGCATCACTTGCCATCAGGGAAATACAAATCAAAACCACAATGAGATACCACCTCACACCAGTGAGAATGGGGAAAATTAACAAGGCAGGAAACAACAAATGTTGGAGAGGATGCGGAGAAAAGGGAACCCTCTTACACTGTTGGTGGGAATGTGAACTGGTGCAGCCACTCTGGAAAACTGTGTGGAGGTTCCTCAAAGAATTAAAAATAGACCTGCCCTACGACCCAGCAATTGCACTGTTAGGGATTTACCCCGAAGATTCAGATGCAATGAAACGCCGGGGCACCTGCACCCCGATGTTTCTAGCAGCCATGTCCACAATAGCCAAACTGTGGAAGGAGCCTCGGTGCCCATCGAAAGATGAATGGATAAAGAAGATGTGGTTTATGTATACAATGGAATATTACTCAGCCATTAGAAACAACAAATACCCACCATTTGCTTCAACGTGGATGGAACTGGAGGGTATTATGCTGAGTGAAGTAAGTCAATCGGAGAAGGACAAACAGTGTATGTTCTCACTCATTTGGGGAATATGAATAATAGTGAAGGGGAATATAAGGGAAGGGAGAAGAAATGTGTGGGAGATATCAGAAAGGGACACAGAACATAAAGACTTCTAACTCTGGGAAATGAACTAGGGGTGGTGGAAGGGGAGGAGGGCGGGGGGTGGGGGTGAATGGGTGACGGGCACGGAGGGGGACACTTGACGGGATGAGCACTGGGTGTTATTCTGTACGTTGGTAAATTGAACACCAATAAAAATTAATTTATATATATAAAAAAATATTCATCTATCAATGCTACATTTCAGAAATAAAAGCATAATTTTGTTATGTTTTTAAATGTATGTTTGGTTCTCCTTTGTGTTCTAAAGTATTTGATAAGATTTGTTTTTAGGTGTTTACTTCAGTAAATTAGAGGTTACAGGAAATGGTCATAGTGTTAGATAGGAATTTGTGTCTGAGTAATGCAGTGTGATTAGAATTGCTTTCTTATTGTGGGAGCTAGATAATTGGTCCAGAGGAAATGAGATTTCCTGGTGATCAAGCCTCATGGCCACTGTCTGTAGCCCTAGTAGCAAGTATTAACTACCTTCCATTTGAACTTGGTCCTGCTCATGTTATCACAGGGTCCAGCAATATAACTGAGTTAATCACATTCTAGGAAGAGGTAATGTATATTTTTGGCTACTAATATTTTTTTCTTCATTTCAGCAACTATAGAAAACTTTCATGTGGTGGAAACATTAGCTGATAATGCAATCATCGTTTATCAAACACACAAGGTAAAAATCTCTTCATCCCAAAAGGATTTCACTGTAGTTCAAAGTGAGACATGTATAAATTCTCTAAAAGTAAAATTTGGCAGGAAATCAAATGCCGTAAAAGATCCAAAGACTTTGTTAATGATGCATGAACATCACATATTTGAAAGGATATCAGTTCATTCAAAGCTGAACCTAAGACAAGAACCTGAGAAATATCCAGAAACAGTGTGTTTGATAAAGATCTCCAGTTAGTTATGTCCACTTAAAATTTAAAAAATACTGAAATCCTGTTAAATATTTTTGTAGCGTCTAGTCTTTATAGGCGATGAGTGATCATTACCAAATACAAAAGTGAATCAGCATTTCCTGTGACCATAGTAATGAAGGGAATGGAAAGTATGTATGTTAAGTCATGTAAGTGGATTATCTGAAAGCATGGGGAAATTGCTAAGCATAACTATTAAGAAGTTGGTCATATACCAGAGCACACAGAAACATCATTTAAGTTAGTTCACTTTCTTCCTTTTCTTTTTTTTTTTTACTGGTTTTATTTATTTATTTATTTGAAAGATACAGAGATAGAGAATACGAGCAGGAAGGAAAGGAAAAAGCAGACTCCTTATGGAGCAACTTGCTCAGTGCAGGGCTTCATCCCAGGACCCCCGGGATTGTGATCTGAGCTGTAGGCAGATGCTTAACCAACTAAGCTACCCAGGTGCCCCTAAATTGGTTCACTTTCATTTCACTTTTCCTTCATCTCTTTCTCTGCTATTCTTAGATATTTAAAATTAAAGAATTAATATTTCTCTTACCTTATTCTTCTCTGTTTCCTGAAAATTGCCGAATAATATATTGTGTAAAAAAACGATAAATGGGGATAGTATGTGGGAGGAAGGGGAAAATAAATGAAGGGAATTAAGAGGTGCAAACTTCAAGTTATAAAAAGTAGAGCATAGGGAAGGTAGTAATATTTGTAATAAGGTTACAATAACAGATGATGACTACACCTTTTGTGGTGAGCCCTGAGTAATATATAAAATGGTCAAATCAGCATGCTGTATACCTGAAAATAATATAACCTTCAATTTTTAAAAAGGAAAATAATAAAAAGGACCTATAATTTTAGAAAGATCTATTCAATGTAATATTTTATGTTATGTAAGAAATACAATAATTCAATAGGTGCTTCCCTTTTCTCTTCTTTAAATGACTTTTTAGGGGCACCTGGGTGGCTCAGTGGTTTGAGCATCTGCCTTTGGCTCATGATCCTGGGGTCCTGGGATCGAGTCCCACATCATGCTCCCTACAGGGAGCCTGCTTCTCCCTCTGCCTATGTCGCTGCCTCTTTCTGTGTGTCTCATGAATAAATTTTTTAAAATCTCAAAAAAATAAAAAAATAAATGACTTTTTAATTGGGTTGAATATATGAAAATATTGTGGGTTTGTTAGGTATTTCCTGAACTCAGTTTTGTCATGTGGGGCATCTTAAATGTAATGATTATGAGGTAGGCCTGATTTTACATGGTAGCTGCTTAAGAAATGTGTAAAAAATACATTATAGGTCAACTTTGCTTCAATTAAAAAAGAAGTGTATAACAACAAAGATTCTGCTTTAGCATACAGATTTGGGGAGTCCAAGGGAAGCTTAAAGTTGAGTAAATGTTAAAAATACCGATTAACTGCCTTTAATTTGGAATCAATAGAAATTACATAGAAGAATCTTATAATCTGAGGACAATTGATCTTGGGAAACAGTCTGCTGAAAATATTTCACTTCGTAAATAGTAGATGGAGGGAAGGATTTAAATAAGCTGTATTACAATCACTTTTTGAAAAATAAAGCTAAAAACTATTAATGTCTCTTCAATGTAACAAAATTTAAGTTAGAATTATAAATGTTTAAATAAACAAATTATCCTGGTATAATTTTTTTTTCAAAAATTCAGTAATGCTATACAATTTTTCCTTTAAATGTGGCTTATTTTATAATTTGATCTTAAAGAGGGCTACTTCTCTCCTGATCTTTAAGTCATTCTCACTCTTTAATTTTTCATCTTCTCATTCTTGTGGACTTGAATTCATTAATTCTAACACAGTCAAATTTTCCTTTATTACTAGCTTCACATAGCAGTGCTCAGCACTGCTTTCATGTATTTTGTGAAATTTATTATCTTTAATATATGAACCATTTCACTTTCCAAATGATTTGTGTTGTATTGACATTGAGTTGTTGGTTATTATACTCAACAATTAGGAAAGGCACAGTGTATATTTTCTGTCATTTAAAAGTACACAGTCTGTTTTCACAAATCTCATTTCCATTATCATCCCAACATGATGTGTCTCCCTGCATACCATAAAGTTGAAAGATTCAGTCTAATTGATTTGGTATTCTTCAGATGTGATTACGATGTCAAAGGAGCAGTCTTCTTACACTGAAATCTTAGCGTTTAAGTCTCTGAACACTTTAAACAGAGGTTGAATACTGAAAAGCAGAATGTTAGGGGCGCCTCAGTGCCTCAGTTGGTTAAGCATCTCCCTCTGCCTTTGGTTCCAGTCGTGATTCCAGCCAGAGTTCTGGGGATAGAGCCCCTGTGGCTGACTCTCTGTTCTGCGGAGAGCCTGCTTAACGCTCTCCTCCCCGCTGGTGCTCTTTCTCTCAAATAAATTAAAAATCTAAAATAAATAAATAAATAAAATGAAATAGAACATTACCAGGGTCTTTGGGAGGGAATAATGGGGAATTAATTACTTATTGAGTACAGAATTTCTGTTCAGGTTGATAAAAAATTTTGGAAATGATGATGTTTATGTAATATTATGAATGTAATGTCACTGAATTATACTCTTAAAAATGCTTTAAGTGGTAAAATTTTTGTTACATATAACCACAACTTAAAAAAAGATTATCCCTTTGATGCTATTATTATTCTGCAAAGCCATTAATTCAGTATTCATAATTTACTTTGCTGGGTACTTTCAGATACTGTCCATTTAAAATTTGACAGATTTTACCTTTGCCTAAGTTATTTATTGGTCTTACATTTGTTTCTCTGTCAGTTTCATATTACATAGGAATTTAAATGTAGTTCACATTTTTGAAAGTTTTTTACTTCTTCCACAGAGAGTGTGGCCTGCTTCTCAGCGAGATGTATTATATCTTTCTGCCATTCGAAAAATACCAGCCTTGACTGAAAATGACCCTGAAACTTGGATAGTGTGTAATTTTTCTGTGGATCATGACAGTGCTCCTGTAAGTGCATTTATATAAATTTGTATAGTTGTACAGTATGAAGCTAAATATACAGTGCAGAACGAAAGTGATAAACACATAGGACACACACAAATACTTGATAACATTTCTTAGACTTTGTTTTCTGTTGAATTGGCTTCTTGGGACATGATAGCCCATGTGTTATCCAAGGACAGCAGTCATGGCTGTGAACACCCACCCAGCAGGGGCTGTTTTCCTTTCCTCCTGAAGTTAGAGGAAACAGAACTGAATGGGTAAATAATGGAAGGCTGCTTTCCACAGTTCCCTCTCCAGCCATGATCAACTGCTAGCAAAACCTCTGTGGTTTCTATCTCAGTTTAGCTCCATCTACTGCTTAAGAGGAGAGAAAAAACATTCCTGATGTCATAACAGCTTGTTTTATTTATTGGTGCTTATAAGATTTGTTGGAGATGTTGATGAGCTGTAGTTTTAGATAACCTAATGTATTAGGCCATTAGGGATTATAAAATGCTAAGCATCTACTGCACTGATGTTTCGTTTCTGTTATTTGTTTTGGCAGCTAAACAATCGATGTGTCCGTGCCAAAATAAATATTGCTATGATTTGTCAAACCTTGGTAAGCCCACCAGAGGGAAACCAGGAGATCAGCAGGGACAACATTCTATGCAAGATTACATATGTAGCTAATGGTATGTATTTTGGGGTTTCTTTTGCTATTTGGGCATGTAGATTTTCATTCAGTCATTCACTATTATTTTAGTGATCTCTACACCCAACATGCGGCAACAACTCCTGACCCCCGAGATCAAGAGACACATGCTCTTCCAACAGAGCCAGCTAGGCACCCCTAGATTTTCTTCTTATAATCTAAAAGCCTTTTTAGTTTTTATCATTTAGATTAGTAATTTTTAATTTGGAGAGATGTGTATTGAAATTATCAGGAAACTTTGAAAATAGTCACGTCTAAATTTGATCCCAGAACTACTCTATCAGATTTTTTTAGGCTGGGGCTAGGTAGATACATTTTAATACTTCCATATCTAGATGACTTTCACATATGCTTGGCTTTACGAACCATCTTACTATAGGGGCGCCTGTGGTTTGGTCAGTTGAGCATCTGCCTTTGGCTTGCATCATGATCCCGGAATCCAAAGATTGAGTCCCGCTTCGGGCTCCCTGCTTGGTGGGGAGTCTGTCTGCTTCTCCTTCTCTGTTTCCCCCTCCCCCTGCTCATCCTCTTTCTCTCACTCTGTCTCTCAAATAAATAAAATCTTAAAAAAAATCTTGTTACATATTTGTCTAATAAAATACATGTATAGTTAGGAATATAAGCAATACTAGTAAAGGAAATGAACAGTTCTGTTTCTCATTGTCAGGCTTTTTTTATTTCCTGGATAATTGCCTGCTTAGGATTCTTCTGACCCATTTCCCACCTACAGTAGTCATTGGAGTCCCTCTAATCAAATCCTCATGCCTTCTTTTTACGGGGACACAACTGCTACGGTGTTGAGTGATGTATTATTTGATTATAGTAAGAGTGACAAATCTATCTTACATAACCTAAAATGTTACTATATTAAGATTTGCTTATAATTTAGGGAGCCAAGAACATCTCAGATAGGTAATAGGTGCCTTCTTATTTGCTATGTGTTCTTGTGTGGTGGTTAGCATGAAGGAATTAATGGTCAGGATTTTAAGAGATGTTAACTGTTCCAATGTGAGAAATTTTTTAAAAGCAAAGGAACAAAATGAGTGTTTTACATACAAATGGAGAATTGTATCCCAACAGGTTTTAATTTCCCTTTATCTTGCAGTGAACCCTGGAGGATGGGCACCAGCCTCAGTATTAAGGGCAGTGGCAAAGCGAGAGTATCCGAAGTTTCTAAAACGTTTTACGTCTTATGTCCAAGAAAAAACTGCAGGAAAACCCATTCTGTTCTAGTGTTAACAGGTACTGGAAGATATATGTTATTCTTTTTTAAAAACTTTGACTAAGGGCAACCCCGGTGGTGCAGTGGTTTAGCGCTGCCTGCAGCCCAGGGCGTGATCCTGGAGACCCTGGATCGAGTCCCACGTCAGGCTCTCTGCATGGAGCTGCTTCTCCCTCTGCCTGTGTCTCTGCCTCTCTCTCTGTGTCTCTATGAATAAATAAATAAAATCTTAAAAAAAAAACCTTTGACTAATACGACTCTGCAGAAACTAAAATCTAGTTAATTGTTAGAAGTAGTTTCTGTGTTTTGAGATGTTCCCAGAGTTGTAATTGTAGTTTTTAGCCTTTAAAACATGTTTTTTTTCTGCGTATATTAGATGTATTTGCTTATGCAAAGAGATTTTAACATTATGGAGCCATAGAACTCCAGTACAAATTCCCTATTTTTTTCCCTTCCCAGAAATTACTTTAGGTTCGTTGTCTTTTCTTCCATACTTTTGTATGTATGTTGTGAGTGACAT